GAATGCAGTTTAGACTGAATTTTATTTTTAAAAAGAAATTTATCACAAACGATACCAACCAGCTTTCAAATGTTCCACATAAGTACTGAAATCGAAGTAGCACAAACAAACTCATGTTGTACGCTAAGCAATATAAGACGAAACTCGAGATGAGAAAAGAAAAAGCCATTAGCATTTTATCGACATATCAACCGGTATATTTAGGTATGCACCGGTGTCGATATTCGGTTTAAGCCGACACCGAAAAACTTCCAAACATTTTTGTTTAAGGTTCTAAAATGATATAAAGAGTTAGCAGAGTCATAACATCTAGTTACTATTGTCAGAGAAACATCTGATTTTATCTCTACCGGTTTTGGTCAACCGACAATCAAAAAACTAAAACCGCTAAAATCAGAATTTAATACCTGATATTTGCCTCCCAGTGGATGGACTATGCCATATGTTTCTTTTTCTGATCGGTGCGTTATGTCCTGCAATTTCTCGAGTTTCACAGAAGCGTGCGTCGATTATAAATAACCGACGGTTAGCCGCTTGGTTATTCAGTCACTGTAATGTTCTAGAAACAAAAGTAATGTTCTAGAATGATCAATTGCTAGACTTAAACACTATTCTTATGTTTTGATGTTATCTCATGGTTTCTAATCCTTTCTGATTAGGCTATTTGTTGGTCAAAAAGGTTCAGAAACTATCATTTATCTAATAAATGCTCTTTCTTCAAAAGACAAACACGGCTGTCGAGACACAAAATTTCACAATAATATGAAGTCTCAGTTAACTACTAATGACGATCTAGATTAATATACATTGGTGTGAGAGAGGACAGAACGCCTATCGACGCCATTAACTTTCTATTGTAACCATCTTCAAAGCCAAATATTACCATCTATTAAAATTTATTCAGGGTGGCAACGCTCGATTTTTCGGATTAAAAATCACAACCGGTGCATACCTAGGTGTATTTTAGACGTGTTTATCAATAAACAGTAGACAAGATTTCAGTACAATGATAGTGGTACAACGCGAAAATCATATGAGTAGACTTACATCTAGACAACATTTGAAGTCAATATCTACCATGTCATCTCTTGTATCATGGATATCATTTTTCAACAATATGATAGTATAAAAAAGTTTACGATCAATTATTCTTTGAAGACCCTTTTACAGTTTAAATAGAGCAAAGTTTCAGCTACATTTATGCTTCTGGATAATTAGTGAGTTGATTCGAAATTAAAGTAGATGTGAAAGTTAATATGAGATAAATATAGTATATAATAAATAAACACTATATAATAGAATAAATGTATAGTACTCTATATTTCTTGTCAGAAGCACGGGAATATCTATGAGTGAATGAGTTATATAGGGGTGAAAAACATTTTTTTCTTTATTTTCTTTGACAATGAAAGATGAGGTCAAAGTAGAGATGCTGAATAAACAGGAGTATTTGTATCACAACTTTGACATTTAATCACACTACCAGACTTTTAGAGCGTTTAAGTTATAAAAAGTTTCAATAAACGTTGGCTGGTTATTTAAATCAAATCTTCAGTAACCTCTCATAATGCTACAGTAGTACTGTGACCTGAGCTCGATCTAACCATATGTTCAGTTTTTTTACTTACGAAAAATTTTCTAGATGATTTTTATTGATAACATCAATAAGAAGATCACACGAGTATCGTACTTTTTGGTATGAAAGATTTTTTTTCATAGTAATAAAAGATACTTGAATGAAATGTATTTTTTTATTATGTCATAAAAAGTGAAGATCTTATTAGAGAGAGTTTGATACATTGTCAACAAGCAATATTGATCTTTAATTCATCTTCTCGTGATTCAAAGAATTTAGTTTAGATGAGTTAAGCGACATCCGCAAGAAGAAAACAGTTCAAGCCTTTCTTCTCTTGTCTTTCGGAACCGATATTTTTTGACTGACTTTAATTACACAAAATTCATTACTTCAACGAAGTAGACGATATGAAAAGATAATGGCGGATTCAGGATATTTTGCAAAACTGGAATACAACGCTTTTTAATTCTCGAAGGATTGGTTTATAATAAACTATATGGACATCTGAAAAAATATGACCTACTAATACCCTTACAATCAGGTTTTATACAGGCCGATTCTACGACAAATCAGCTGGTCGATTTGGTGCATGAAATAGACGAAAATTTAGATTCTAATAAATTTACAACAGCTGTATTTCTTGATTTTGCAACGGCGTTCGACAAAGTTTGGCATAAAGGACTTTTATACAAGCTAAAACAAAAAGGCGTGGATCCCGAACTTTTAAAATGGTTTCAGAGTTATCTAACTGCTCGGAAATGCACTAAGCTTGTAAATGGGCAATCTTCTCCACTTCTTGTTTTAAACCATGCTGTCCGTCAAGGCTCGATTTTAAAGCCACTTTTGTTTTTAACATTCATCGACGATATTTATGACAATAAACGATCGAAATTTCGTTTATTTGCGGACGATACATCAATGTATCATACTTCGGACGATATTTTTATAAGTGAAAGTAGTTTAAATCAAGATTTGAAAGACGTTTTAGAGTGGACCGAATTTTGGCAGTTACCCTTGAATTTAAAAAAGTGTGTGACTATGTTTTTCGGCAAAATTTCTGCACCTCCTCAGCTGTTTTGAATTGAAATGTTATCCACTACATCGATAGGCATAAACATTTGGATTTGCACTTAACACCAAAGCTAGACTGGTCTCTGCATGTATACGAGGTTACATTGTACCAAATACGCTGTTTCAAATATACTCTAAGTACGATTACACTCGACCAGATCTACAAATCGTATATTTTGCCAACGTTAAGTTATGTAGATGTAATCTATGCATGTGCGAAAGAGATTCAGACTGCAAATACCCCTTTGCCTAATGCATTAGCTTATTTAAGACCAATTTCAAAACTACAGTACGATGCTGCACTGACTGTTAGTGGTGCCATGCGTCTCAGCTCGCGAGATAAAGTCTTCAGCGTACTCAGTACGCGATCAAAATTTTTTGACCAAAATTCAAAGACTTGGTATTCTAGCGGTCGGGTCTAGGGGTGGCACTTTCTCTTTCCTACCTCTTTTTTTATTAACAAAAGAAAACTTTTTCTTTTTCTTTACAACAAAAAAGAGTAAAGATATAATGCATATCTTTTCTTTCCTAAGAAAAAGGAAAGAGGCACCTTTTCTTTTCCAAAAGAAAGAAACGCGATATCTTTTCTTTTTGCAAGAAGTCTTTTTCTTGCAAAAAGAAAAGATATCGCGTTTCTTTCTTTTGGAAAAGAAAAGGTGCCTACTTCTTGCAAAAAGAAAAGATATCGCGTTTCTTTCTTTTGGAAAAGAAAAGGTGCCTCTTTCCTTTTTCTTAGGAAAGAAAAGATATGCATTATATCTCTACTCTTTACTTTTGAAATAAAAGATACCACTCTATCGTCACTCACGAAAGGAACGGGAAAGCGCCACCCCTAATCGGGTCTTCCAGAAGCCCTATTATCAAGTTTTCTCATAAAACAGCGATATGCACCTCATCCGACAGAAAAATCTTTGGGCTATTCAAAACAGTATTCCGATTTGTTTCAGCTTTTACTGAAAAATAAAAAGAGTTCTTGTGATCATGACACACTGTACTGCATATATACCACCCAAACGCTTCTTTTCCGTATATTTAACGACTGGTCCAACCTGTCTAAATATTCTGACTACCTCAGTTTGTAGAGACTTTCATGGGCTATCCAATGGTATCGTTTAAAAAATATATAGTTTTTCATTAGGACAGAAAAATGACTAAACAAGTGTTCCACAGGTGTTTTCCGTACGTCCAACGCGTTTTTTGCATGTTCGTGATGACCGGGCCGACCGACCTAGATTGTCTGACTAGCTCAGCTTGTAGAGAATTTCAAGGGCTATCCAACAGTATAGTTTTAAAAAATATATGTGAAGAAACGAAAAAGTTATCGAAAAACGACTTGCCCGATTTTCGGCGAAAACGACTAAATTTTAATAAAATTCAAATATCTCAAGAATGAAAAAAAATTTTAAAAAAAGCGATTCATACTTTTTTTTCACGTTTCAAGGCGAATCGAATGGCGTATGAAACTTGGCTTCATGTTTTAATTAAAGAGCTGCGATAGGTTTGCAAGATGAGGGTCTCGAAACCGAAGATTTATCGGTCCCATTTCGCGCCGAGCGAATATTTTTTGGTGTTGAACCTTCAAATACAGTTTTCAGAGCTGAATAAGAAAAACATAGTTTCACGGCTTTGAAATGAGGCGGAACCAAGTTATTCAGTTTTTAAAAAAAGTTAATGGGTTTTCGAAAAAACCGATCGTTCAAGTTTTTTTGAATTTTTTTCACTGATAATGTGAACTGGGAAGACTAAAGACCAGATACTCTTGATCAGCGTTAAATTCCCTATCGAATGATGTATGATTAAGCCAAAAATAAAATAGTGCTATAATTTTTTGAATTTGGAGCACCTTATCTTACCATGAATTTTCTATACCTGAAATTGATGCACCCGTTGAACAGCTATAATTTATAAAGTGCAATTGTAAAAGCAGAAATTATGAAGACTTATCTGCTTTGTTGTGCAATATCCAAAATAAATATACTACATCAACTATGTTTCAGATTTTGCAAAGTGACTCATCATGCTTGAAAAAAGCACTTGTCGATAATGGTATGTCATCATAAATGCTCTTCTCTTTTGTTTTGTTGTATAAAGACTAATAGATTCTCGTACAGGTAAGAGATAAACGAACACATACTTTTGTTATTATCGAAATTATCCATAGTATATTCACAGAGTATAATATATCATCCCGTTTATGATTATCGCTTAAACTTCTGACTATTATCAATTAAAAGCAACGTACCCTTCTCATCTAAAATGATAATACAAAAACCAATAACTATATGATTTCACGTGAATTTCCTTTTTTAGTTTGTTTCTGTAATGTAAATCAAAAAATATTACAATTTCAGTAATGAATTCGACCTATTCTCCCAGTATTAGTGAAGAGCGCGTTAAAAATAGAAGATCAGATGCATTTCTTTGTCCTATATGTCACAATATATTATGGAAGCCACAGCAGTGTAGCAAATGCCAACAACCGATTTGTGAGAATTGTATCGCAACGTGTTTGAGACATAATCCTGGTGTTTGTCCTATGTGTCGTCTGCCTTACCAAGAACAACGTTGTATGCCACAATTCTATAATTTTTTATGTGAATTGCAAATTGAATGTTGTAATAGGTCTAGTGGCTGCAATCAAATTTTATTCTACGAACAGCTGGAACAACATGAAACACAAGAATGTGGCTATGAAATCAAAGAATGTCGTGGTTGCAAGGAAAAAGTTATAAAACAAGAATTAATAAAACATGAAAAAGGTTGTGAATTTATTAAAAAAACATGCCGCAATTGCAGGATGATTTATGGACAAAAACAGAAACATGAACTTTTAGATTGTTTAACATATAAACAAGAAGTATTAGAAAAACTAATAAACCCCCCCCCAGAATAGAAGGGCATGGCTTTCTCTTGTGTCCCGTCGGATCAAACTTTTTAGGGTGGCCTTCTATTAAGAGTGGCCTTCTAAACCGACCTCCTAGATAGAATTTTCTAAAA